ACTCCTAAAAAATAATAGAGTTCATGCAGAAGAAAATTCCTTCGCGTTTAATCTTTCTTCAATGGCATCTTTGTTATCAACATTCAGCTTCAAAAATAAGAACAAAAAAATTATAAATAATAAAGGAATTCTTGTAAAAATGTTAAAAATCATAAATCATAATTCTTGATGTTATTTAAAATTGTAAAATAAAACCCGAAACAAAAAAACTATATCTTTATTAATTTAAAAAACCATTTAACAAAAATGTTTATCTTCGCCATTAGCTTATTAATTGGATATTTCTTTGGTCATTATAAAAATTACAACAAGCTCTGTAATATAAACCAAAAAATTGATAAAATAGTTGATGAAACAGAGTCTTGGAAAAAATATAGACCAAGTAAACCAGTTTGTGAAAAGAAATACTCGAAAGAAGTTGAAACTTTGTGGGAAGATTTCAAACGATTATTCGATAAAAAGACTAGACTAGATCTTGATTTTTCGTTTAATAAAATGGCCATTGAAATTTGTGAATTACTTGAAGGAAAAGGAGTTGTTGCCTCTACTATTAAAAATTTTTATCAACGAAAAACTAATCCTAGAAGAAAAACATTAGAAGCAATCCAACAATGGGTTGATAAGGAAAAGAGTAAGGAGATGGAAATTGATGATGATGATGAGAATGGTGTTATTGTTTAATTGATAACAATTATCAAAAGATTAGTAATGGCGAAAGTTAGATTTTTGTCAGAGTGCCCAAAGAATGGACAATACTCACTATGGCTTTGGGTCCGAGTATTTTTTTCCCATCGAAGTGCTTTGACAATTTTTTACCTTTCAATTTTTTTCTCTATGTATTTTTCTATGTATTTTTCTATGTATTTTTCTATGTATCTTTCTATGAATTAAAATAAAGTTCTTTTTTTGTTTAATCCTTGTCTCCGTAATAATAATAGTTTCAAGTCGTGTGCCCATCATTTTGTAGCTCATTTACTATTGGTCGAATTACAATTATAATGATCTAAATTATTTTTAAAAAATGGCAACTATCGAAAACATCCAAGAACAATTAAAAAAAGCAAATGAAATGTTGAAAGAAATAAAAGAGGAATTGAAGAGTGGGAAGAGAGATTTGACGGGTTAAAGAGGAAGAATGCAAGAAGTGAGAGAAAAGAAGAGATGACTGTGAGGAGCAAGTGAAAAGGTTACAAATTGCATTGGTTGAATCAAATAGAGGAAAAGGTAATGAATAAATTGCATAAAAAAATATACAAAATTTATTTTATCTTGTTCTATTTGTTTATTTATCCATTTGAGAGCATCACTTACAATTTTAACTAACTCTTATTTTTTTTTTGTTCTTAATTAAATATTTGATATTGCTTTATTCATTTATCAACTTCATTCTGAATTTATACATTAACAAAATAGGTTGGACATATGTAATTTTTACTCAACCATGTGCATCTTTGGAGAAGAAAACATCACAATTAGAATATTTGTATTTGAAGGGAATTTTGGTATACTGTTTGAAATGTTGACTCATGATGCTTTTCTTTTTAAATCCTCATTCATCCATTGTGCTGTCAATACCTGATCCTTCTTATTCTTGCTATCTTCGCCAGGGCTTCTAAAGGATTCTGGCAAGTAACAGGCATGATAACTCATTAACAATCCACAACACCTTCTGTTGCCTAAAAATTTTATCTTAACTTAATTTTTTTTTTCTTTAGTTGACTGAACATTTTCTACTAGCATTTTAATTGGATATCGCATTATAAATGTTCATTAAATACATCATCATCATGGTATGTTTAAATAATAACCAGCATTATTTGTTATGAACTTCCTAAATGAAGCTTCTGACAAGTACCCAATTATTTTAAATCTCATATACCTGCATTTGGGGCTCGATTTCTAAATGCGTAGTTTGTTCAACAATTTCACGCTCATAAATTGCTATATTAGAATCGTTTTCTTCATTTACATCCAAATATTCTATAAGTCCTTGAGCCAAGAAATCAGAAAATCGCATTTCATTTCGCTTTAATTTCTAAAAAAAGGAATAGTAAGCATTAGAATCAATTAATAATAAAAAAAAAGATTATACATACTTGAATATGGTATGAGGTAACTTTTGGTAACTTGTTTTCTACTATAATCAATGGCCGACAAACTCTTCCGCCATCAGAAGCTATGTGTACAGCTGAATGATGATGATTTACGTAAATGCTAACAAATTCTGAAACTCTTCTACAACGGCGTAAGCGACGGAAATCTTGAACAAATTCATGTGGCTGACGCGTAATTCCAAGCATAAGACCATTAAGAAATACCATATAGGAATTGTCTTGATATAATTCAAAACCAGTAAGACTGTTCACATCTAATATTAATATTATTATTTATTATAGCACTTCATATGTGCGTATTAAAACGAGTATCTATTAAATATATTAAAATTGTGTAAAACCTTCAACTCCCAAATTGAAAGCCAAACGTTTTAATGGTTCTTCTTCATCATCGGTTGTTATATGAGTCATTAGTGCAAGATTTTTTACTAAACCGCATGCCTCACCTTCAGGTGTATCAGCGGGACACAGCATACCCCACTGTGATGGCTAATAGCCCAAAATAATTGATCAAGTTATTTCTTATCTATGTAAGGTTAAAGAAATAACTTTCAAAAATCTCTATCTATTCATTTTACATAATAGATCCTCCCTCCCTCAGTAGATTGACGCTATTTGTTCATACCTGAAGAGCTCGAGGTCCGCTAATTTTCCTTGTTTTTTCAAATTGAGAAGTAATTCTTGTCATGGTTCCTAATGCTGAAATATAACTTAATCTACTAAGCACATGTGTGATACCAGCTCTTTCCATCTTGAAACGTTTTAATGTCCAGTTTCCTGTAGCAATTGCTCGGACGAATCCATTTGTAATACTGTCACCATGTTGCATTAACTGTTTATGAGCATCAAACTCAGTTGCTCTATTAGGTTTTTTCAATAACTTGTCAATATTCAATTTAAGATCAAAATTAAATTTTTTGAATAAGTCTTCAAATAAAAGAGCTAACAAAGATCCTGCTCTGAATAAATATATATAAGATAAGATAATAACGCGAAAATTAGTCAAAAACTATTAAATAAATAGCGCTACTACCACTACCACTATTAATGTATACTAACAACTCTAATCTTTTATTTCCAACATAATCTCTATCATCAACTAAAGATTCCTTAGCCATCACCATTAGTACACGGCGTATCATTATAGCAATGTAAATGCATTTTGGTTGAAAGTTTAAATTTTGTACTGGTACATGTGCAAGTACAACTGTTGCTAAAATTTCTAAAGCTTCTTCAGCCATAGGTCTTCTAACATTTGCAATTTTTCTTGTCACCTTAACTTTGCTGCCAATATAATCTAAAGCTTGTTTTTGTGTAAAGATTTTCATTTTTGCACATTGTTCAATATTTGGTGAGAACATATTTAAAAATGTTTGATTTCCTCCGGATATCAATTGTGCAATTTCCTTATCAGACTGAATACCCATAGCCTAATAAAAAACAAAATAATAGAAATTAAGACTTTTTCCTTATTTACAATCATCTTTTAATATTAATAAATTTTTTACCTTCATGACTATAACTATAGGAATTTCTTCAGAAATCGAATTATGTTTTAATGTAATTTTATCATTTTTTAAATCATTTTTTGCCACTATATAAGTTTTACTTTTTCTTTCATGTGTAGAACTAAAAAAGAATATATAATTTAAAATTTTTATGAATGTTATATATTTTTATATGTATAAATAAAGAAAAAATATTTCTTTTACCTCGTAACATAAGCTTGTACAAGACCTTTTTTGTCACCTTCAACAATAATTCGATTCTTTGACAATTGTTCTTGAATTAAAATCACCTTTTCTGTGCCTTTAACAATAAAATAACCACCTATAAAATAACATTAGTTAATAATGACTACTATTATGGTTATGATAGTAAACAAAAAAAAGATTAATTACCTGGATCCAAAGGACATTCATACATTTTAGCCAGTTGTGCTTCAGTTTTACCAGTTAGTACACATTTTGAACTTCTAAGCATTATTGGCATTTTTCCAATAATGGTGTTTCTGCGTATTATTCTAGATTTTCCACGGACATATTCTACATCCACCATAATATTTCCCGAGTAAGTTAGATCACGAAGTCTACATTCATGAGGGGTAAAGATGGTCTGGTGAGTTTCATGATCATGATCTGGACGTTCTGGGGGGCCAACTTTAATATCAAGATATCTGTAATAATATAATAACAATACATCATTGAGAAATGAGAATAATGAAGAGAAAATAGATATCCTTTTAAGACCTACTTTAACCAAAACGTAGGATCAACATCCGAGGTAATGACATCGTTAGCTTGCACTATTTTTTTTAATTCAGTTTCGACGAAATAGTTAAAAGAATCTATATGTTGTTTTACTAGACCTTTTACCTTTAAAAAAGCAGGTAAAAGTTCCCATTTATCCTATTTATAGAATATTTATTAGCTAAGATGCTATCTATACATGGAAAAATTTGTAATGATCGATCGAGCACACAAATACCTCTACATTCTTTATTGGATCTGAAAGGTTTTTGTGAGGAATATTTTTTTGCATCTTTGAAGCTTCAAAGTACATGGTGCTACAAAACCGATTTCAGTGGCCCGATTTATTATCCACGTGACAATACTATTTTTAATTCTGGTCAAGTACATGTATCGAATTATTAGTACAGTCAGGATTATTATTATTACCAAAATTTGGGAACTCCTTTATCGATCAATTATAAAACAAATTAAATGATACTTTGCTGCTTTTGACTTTTTTAAACAATATTAAACTTGCTTCTTCATAATCTACCAAACATTACAATGATCTATTGATTTGGTCAAAAGTAAACTTTTAAATAAATTCAAGTACCAGGAGTTTTAGATTTTTTCTTAATGGATAAACACATAAAACATCAAGATCAATTGCATCCTGCTTATTTGTTGCACTTGCTGAGAAATATTCAGAGTCATTTAAGATAATGTGTTAAAATGCAATAGGAATAAAACAATTATAACAATGAGTGAATGACAATCAGGAAGTAATATATATAATTTAGCATAGAATTTATTTATATCCAAAAACTTGCAAATTAATTTACAATATATTATTTATTAATTCTATAATTTTAATAACAAGATTCCTGATGAATTAGTGACAGGTTGGTAGCTCAAACAATTCATCAGTATATTTAACCACTGAGTTTTATGATAATTTTATAATTATAATTTGAAGCTATTGATTATTTGATAGGCAGTTAAAAATAAACAGGATTACCCGTGACTGGTAAAGACCAAAGAACAGTTTTTAATAATGGTTGGATTTATCTAACGAAATTAAAGGGTGTAGAACTGAACACAAAGGAGTTAAGAATATTGATGTTTTAAAATATAAACTTTCAGATGTTGATAGTAATTTACTGCATCATTTGGAGTCATTATAATAATAACCACAATATGTTACCACTTATTTTTTTATACTTTATTTTTTGTTGAGAATAATGTAAAGATGTGAACTGCAATCCAATTTTTATATGCCATAATTAATTGCAACTGGTTGCAATTAATTGAGGGGAGCCATCTTTTAATCTTGGGATTGTAATAAATCTATTAATAAAAGAAGTACAGTATAACAAAATAAAAGCAAGAACTTTTCAATACTGAATCTGTGATAACTGTGTTTTAGGAAATTTGACATTTTAACAAATCATCTTCATTTTCAAATGATCTTTTTTTCCACCTCCTAAAGATTTTATTTGCAATTGTAGGATCAACTCCATGAATTAGATGCAATTGCCAACCAGGGCAAGCATTAATATTAATCTTTTCATTTGCTGAGAATTAGAGTTTAAAAAATAGTGATAAGTTATTGTAATTTAAAATCCATTAATTATGACTAATAAAGAAGAAAGAAAACATCTGTATACCAGCAGCAAATTGTGCCTGGTTAGTATAGACAAGTCCATAGAATTGATGAAAATTATCACAATAAATGATGGCAACATTCAATTTGTAATTATAAGATATCAAGTAATGATGAATCCAAGGCCTTGAGACTTTTTGTCTCCTTTCTTATCTCCTCATTAATTGGGTTTTGATTAATTCTTTGTGGATTGGATATTTCATATTGAACCCACTTCATCTGTAAAATTAAATCTATTGAAGAACAGTTTAAAGTATGTGAATCCCAAGTATTGCATGAGCTATTATTTCTTGAACCATTTCTGTTGACATTGTGAGATCAAAATCCACGCCTCACAGTAAATATCAATGTTTTATTTATTCATATTAAATTGTAATAACAATTTCCATGAATGTAAATTTATGCTTTACTCTCAAAACTAATTGATAGGTCCAAGATTTACTATCTCACAACACCTTTACAAAATTATATAATTTCAACAATTCAGCATGAACAAATTACATTATATCATATAGATTAATTGACTCAACATTTTCTACATCTGCATACTTCTCTAGAGTGACCACCAATATTTGAAATACAACATTGAAATAGATTTGTAATTTTACATAAACCTCATTCAAACCAGCATCTTTATAGACAATACTAATTGCATCATCATGATGGGCAAAGGTAATGGAAGTGATAAAGCAGGATGCATTGATTTTGTAATAACTTCTCAAAAGTAGAACTTTGGGTGTTCTTGCAAGAATTGGAATAAAGAATATATTTTTAACAATTTTGCCACAACTTATATTTAATTTTTCTGAAAAGTATCAGTCTCAATTAACTTACTAGTTACATATACACAAAGTAAAAAGGCTGACATTGTGATTTTTGTTGACTGATATTGATGACATCCAAAACTGTGTCTAATTTTAGAATCCTTTTTGAAACACCTAATTGTCTGCAAGCTTTCTAAAAACCTTCCAAATTGCATAACTCTATTACCTTCAACAAAATAACAATGCAAAATACAAATGTAAAGTGCATCTTCTCCAAGCAATATATCTGTGTCACTTGCAGCTGTCCTATTACCAAATATAATCATGACACTCACCATGTTCTCAAACATTTCACAAATTTTAAGGTGGTCATCTTTAAGTGCCCAGGTTCCAAAATATATCTTCTAAATTTAGTCTTTCCTGTACCAGGCCCACTTGCAACAAAGGATATAGGTGCATATTCCTATCAGATATATTGC